AAGAAAGGTTTTACATTATAGAAAACCTACTAGAGATTCATATGCTCATTTTAGGCCAGGAACCAATCCCAAAAGATCAGTCAGATGGTTCTTCATTATGATCAGTGATAACAGGGGCCTCAGTTGTGCCAAAGTTGCCTTCACACTTTCTAGTTTGCCCTGGGCAGTCTCAGTCTATGCCTATCAGATTGGCATAATGACTGATAGTGTTTTCTTTAATTCCATAGAGTGTCATGGATTAGACAATAAACGAACACTTCATTAATATTTACTGGTTAGATCGACAAGGTGGGAATCATTTCCATTTTCCGTAGATTGGGTTACCACACTGCTGTGAGTAAAACAAGATCTGGCATTTACTGTGTGGCCACTCTGTGCCCGGGGCTTCTAAACTCTGTCTATATTTTACCACATTTAATTTCCCCAAAGTGCTAGGCAGACGCTAACATCTTAGTGTCAAATACAGTTCCAAACGGGCAGGAGAAGCTAAGGTATTCTCCCAAGGTCATGCAACAAGGAAGAGGAAGTAGATTTGGACTTTGGCACCCGGAGCTGTCTTTTTCTGCAGCCAGTGTCTTACCATGGATGGCAGATCTTCCAGAGGACAGGTTGGCAAGTCCAGCTAACAGTCTTCTTCCCCAGGGAAGAAGAAACCCAAAGTGGTTCCTTCCCACCCACCTCTGCTGTCCCTACTCCATCCATCAAGAGCCCTGGGGGGAGTGGGCCCCCCATTTGTCCTGGGCTGCAGTTCAGTTAGAACACTCACCGTGTTTCTATCAAAAGTGCTTTCCCTACACTTGCCTTGATGAAGTGGAACTGGCTCTTAGGAGCTGAGAATTCATACCCAAGAATTTACTTTTAATCTACAGCTTCCTTCCATTTTATTCTTCCCTGTAGTATCACTGATAACAAGGGGGCCAATGGCCCTTTCTCCAGTTCCTAGAGGCCCCAGGTGGGAAAAAGGAGCACAGTTCAAGTTTTCTGTGACTCCTGGCTCAGTTTCCATGGAATGCAATAGCAGTGCCAAAGCCTGGTAAAAATAGAAACTCTCCAGTGTTCAGGATCCTCTCCAATGCTCCATGGGAATCTGTAGCAACTCATCACCGAGGAGGGTCGCCGCTGCCGTTCACTAGAGGGAAGATCTCAGGTCTCGCCAGGGGCAGAAAATGAAGCAGCTAAAAGTGTAGGGCAGGGCCTCTGATCCTGCTGGTGCACCCCTGGTCTCTTTACTCAGGTTTCATTGGATGTTCAATCGTTACATAGAAACGTGGCACACCTTGAAGGATGAAACACAGGCAGTGAGTGCAGCAGCCTGGTGAGGGTCAGTCTTGGAGAATAAGAATCGGTTATGAATCTTCAGAAAGACAAAGTGACATTTTTGACTGTGCCTGGAGAAGTAAACCCAGAAACACAGAAGATCTGACTACCTTCTCAGATTAGCAGGATGGTCGGGGAGTGCATGGTCAGTTTTCCATTGCTGGTACAAAAATACCTGACAACTACAATTTAAAGGAGGAAGCTTTAATTTGCTCAGGATTTCAGAGGATTTGGTCTGTTGCCTGCTGGCTCTAAGGCAGGAACAAGGCGGTGGAAGGGTGTGGTGTAGCAGAGCTGCTTAGCATTCAGGGTAGCTGGGTAGCAGAGTGTGTTGTGTTGGAATGAAGGCCGAAAAGAGAAACATCCTCTGAAGGCCTCCAGCCTCCTAACAGCTGTGGATATCACTGGATCCATCAGTGGCTTTGTGAGGTGCGATCAAAAATTGTGAATGCTGCCACCAAGTGCCATCCAATAAAAAGGAAGGCACTAAAAACGCTGCAGTGAGTCCTCATCCACCTTATTCACTGGATCTCACACTGTGCAACCTGTGGGTTTCTATCAGAGTCAAAATGAACATGAAAGGTACGCACTGTGACTCAATTCAACAACACCCTGACAGCACAACCAAAGACGCCCGTTGGAGAAGACTTCCAAAACTACCTCCCAGAGGGGTGAGCGTGCTGGGGTAAGTGTATGCAGAGCGAAGAGGAAGGCCTTGACGGGTTAGTGGCAGCATGCCTTGTCGGGAAATGAATTAAAAAACAAACGAATCTAAGCATTCACTGTAGTTGTTGATCACATGTCACACACTGCATGATCCCAGCCACCTCTCTCTCAGTCTCCTAAGCCACTCGAGGTGACAAGCTTAATGGTCACAGGGAGAGAGCCAGTACCATGAGCCATGAGAGCAGATGGATGTGAAGGAGGGGCCCGAGGCTCAGAAGAGTAATAGACTAAGTACTTCCTGAGTCCTACACGTTTGATGCGGTGGCTTTGGTGATGCCGCCATACTTGTGTTGGGGAAAATGCTACAAAAACAAGTGTGGTCCGACCGTTTGCTCATCAAGTTTCTACTGCCGGGTGGAATCAACACAAGAAGGGAGAGCCTTGGAACACTTTCACAACGAGAAGTTGTTTCCCTTCCTAGAGCTCATAAGCCTAACTTCTTCCCACTGAGCACATTCTCAGTCTCCATAGAAGAGTGAGCTCTGGGATCAGGCAAACCACTCCGTACTCAGGAGTCTCCCCTCTCTACCATATGATGGGGGCCATCGTACCTGTGTTCTTAGGTCTCCTTTTGGCAACTAAGGAACAATGTAGCTGCAGGAATGAAGGAGGGTGGTTAAGCCCAGAGGGGTCAAAACTACCAAAGAAAGAAATTAAAGTAATATAAATGATTGGCACCAAACAGTTGGAAAGAGAAGGGTCATTCTGGTTCTCTCTCACTGGACTGGAGGGAACCCTCCTCTGGTAAATTTTCACTAATTGGAGGAAATCGCATCTATCTAAGAGCTGTTTCAGAACGTGATGCTGCATCATTAATCTCAGTGTTTGTCTCTCCTAGCAGACAGTGACTCTTTCATGGGAAGGACTGAGGCTTGGTCAGGTCAGGCTCTGCCCCAGTATCTGATGGGTGCAGGTTGTTGGATGCACGAAGACTCCTGTTGGGGGAAGTGCTGAGAAGCACTGAGAAGTCAGTAGAGGGAACGGAATCAGATTCTTAGTGTCTCAGCTTCCATGAGCCTAGAAACAGTGGAGACTCTGAGACAGGGAACTATGACCTTTATGTCCCAGCAGGCTAGTCATCTGCCCAAGGAGGCAAGGATGATACTTGCTTTACAACTTTACTGGGGGTTTGGGAAGGCTCTATAGAACAATACAGGAACCATTTTAAAAATACAAAATCTTATGTACAAAATCTTACACACATGGAACTATCTAGTGCACACTCAAATAAATGATTGAACTCTGACTTCTATTATACATTGGGCAACGTATAAATGGAATGGCCTCTTCCCTCAAGAGACAGCAAAAGTGAGACGGAGTGTTGTGGCCACTGCATTAGACTCAATAAATGCAAGATAATGTCACCTACTTACAGAAGCTAACAGAGTAAGAAGCTTGGACAAGGCTTAATCTCTAAATGCTCGCAAAGTTTTGAGATTGTTCATAGAACTTCCTTTGCACCCTGCTCTGCATCTCAGCTTGCGACTTCTATCATGGCCGCGGTTCTGACTCCACGTGAGAGATCTGCCCTCAAACACTGGCTCCTCTATTGCTATTTGCTCTTCCCTTGGTGGGGTTCTACTGGATTGCACAAGTGCTTTTCCCTAACTATTAATACTATAATAAATGTAGAGGTCAAATCTATAACACCAGGATCTTGGCCAATTGTGGTTACTGCGTGTACCCAAGCATTTATTTTTTCCAAAAGGGTCCTCAAGCAAGTTCTAGTAATTCAGGCAAATTCCATTTTGGATTAATTTCATACTGCATTGCTGAATTCCCACCGCAGTTTTTAGTGAATATAATCAGATTGTGTGTGTGTGTGTGTGTGTGTGTGTTTTCCCCCTTGCTTCATCCAAAGAGTTGGTGACAAGCAGCAAGCCTGAAACAGCTGCTTTGCTTCACTGGGGAGAGAGGCTGCATGTGTACCCTGAATGAAACCATCTGTGGGAATCTCCTAGCAGCGTGCTAAGGAAGGAAATGCTGGGGACGTTTTCAAGAAGCCCAGTTAAAGGTAACTGATGACTTATGTGTTGTTCTGGAAGAACAAATAAGAAGGAACTCAATAACGTCCCATAACTGCGTTGCTCTGGTAAGGTAGTCCTGGCAAGTTCCAGTTTAAAATGTACTTCTAATCCCAGCATTCTGGGAAGCTGAGGCAGGAGGACTGCAAATTCAAGTCCAGTCTGGACAACTTAGAAAGTTAGCAAGACCCTGTCTCAGAATAATAAACAGAAGTGGGCCGAGGACATAGCTCAGGGTGAAGGCCCTTGGTTCAATTGCCAGTACAAAAAAATATGCTCAGTGATTTTGTTTGTTCCAAATTAACTAGCATGAATAAAATGGCACAGAGATTCTAAAGGAGACTGGAAGGCATTTTTCCATGCCTTGGCCCCAGCTGCCCAGCCCCAGCTGCTCAGCCCAGTCTCATAAAGTCACACATGGCCAAGACATCTTTGTACTTGGAAAGCAAGTTTTGCAAGTTTTTTTTTTTTTTTTTTAATGTGCCTCACTCAACTGACCGGAAGTAGTTTTGAAGCAAAGTAAATAGAACTGCCTTAATTTCAACTATGATTAACCAATTCATTGAAAACCCATCTGGAAAAAATTCAAGATGCATTTAGGGTGATGGACATTTGAGTTGATTTTTATTTTAATTTTTGAGACAGGGTCTTACTATGTAGTTCAGATTGGCCTTGAACTCACTATGTAGCCCAGGGTGGCCTCGAACTGTCAGTGATCCTCCTGCCTCAGCCTCCTGAGTACTGAGATTACACAGTTGTTTACTGTTGTGGAGCTGTTACAGATAAGGCAAGTAGGTATATTACTGCAGATGTCTTTTTGGCAGACATAAGTCTTTAGAAAAACAAAATGCCCAATTTGATAAATTAGATGAATTTTATGTACTTTTATGTTTGGAAGAAGTCAGTGTGATCTATTGGAATGGAGGCTGAGGAATCTGAACTTTGGTCAGCTGAATCCAGAGATATCTTCTATAAAATTACACCTTTTCATCTTTTATGTTCTCAGCTTGTCTTTGCCCCTCGTCTGGCTCTGCTCTGAGCAGGGGTGACTCCTCCTCACTCGTTTTCCTTCTGAGGCTTTTCCCATACTCATCCCACACTACTTCAACCGACATCCACGTAGAAGGAATGACAATCAGATGACTAATTCCACCTTCTGCACTGGACCTGGCACTGTGAGACTCCAGCTCCTCCCCAAAGTCAAAATGACCGAGAAAGGTAAACAGTTTAATTGGTTCAGGACACTGAGGCAGCTGTATCGATTCAACTCAAGATACACATGAAAGAGGATTTTAGAATTGCTTTAGAAAGTGGTGAGAATGTAATAAACCTTTAAAAATTTAAACATTCAGTGCATTGTTTGATCACACTTCATATTTCCCTGCTTTTATTAAATCCAAGATAGGCAGTCTAACCTGTCTAACCAAAGAAGCAGGTAAAATTATTCTCAGTGACATTTCGGGACCAGTCTTTTAAAAGCAAGATAGAAGAAGGTAACATAACTATTGACACCTATTGCCTTCCTTTTACAACCCATTCCCCAAACTTCCGGCCTTACAGAGCTGCTTCTTTTCAAGGAAGCGAATTAAAGAAGTGAAATAAAACCCGTGGGCAAAAGAGAATTTAACTACTCTCGAATTCGTTTTCCCATCCTACCAACCACGCATCTGTCTATTTACCCATCCAACCAACCAGGCCTTCATCAGACACGTGGCTTGGATCTCAGGCCAGTATCTCCCTCTGGGGACATCCATCTGTGCTTGGCGTTTCCAGTGGTGTGGAACTTACACAAGCCACACAGCCAGCTCATTGCCGGCAAGATAACAAAGCTACATTATTGGAACATTTTGATAAATTGACCTTTTATTCCCCATTGCTATCTAAGTTTCTCAACTGTTAGGACAGTAGGATATTTAAGACAAAAGGCAATGTCATCAGTAAAGTTCTTTTACTTAAAACCTTTGACTAAACGAGGGTGCAGCTGAGAGGTGATAGTTTTCTCTATGGCTTCAAGCAGGAGAAAGGTTTCGTTACAAGTGACATGATTGCCAAAAGCAAATCAAGTGATCCTCACATTAGAGCTCACAGTTTTATTTGGCCAGCACAATATTTTTTTTACAATATTTAAAAAATAACGAATCACTTGCCAAATTTTAAAGTTAGACTGTCTCCCATAAAATCTGAGCCTGGATTATCCTAACAAAAAGGGATGCTTGACAATTTTCATGGTCTTTTTTTTCCCCCTTAGATTTAAGAGCATTTTTAGCAACTACCATTTCCCATAGTGAAGGCAAAAAAATGCTTTCTGTTGAAACAATTCTTCCCACTTAGCATTAGTGGAGTTTTCCTGCTAAGTTTTTTAAGCTTAACTCGTCTTTAAAATAAAAAGCAGAACTGATTCCATTTGTGACTTCCTCTCCAGCCACTCATTCATCTAAACTGATGTCCAGAGCTGCGTCCGAGAGTTCACGATGGCGATTATCTCTGAATGGTAGGGCTCTAGAAAACATTTCACTTTCCTTTTAATATTTTTCTGAGTTGCTCTAATTTTAGTATTCAACATGATTTATTTTTACATAATAGTCCTTACTTTTATATGTCTGTTTTATCTCTGGATTGAACTATCAATGGATGTAATGAAGTGACATCTAAATTAATGATGAATTTCATTTTTCAGATAAGAAAAGTTTAAAAATCTCATCTTCCCTGGTGGACAGCCTCCTCTCCAGATATCAACCCCTTTGTATTAATTTATTTTAATAATTTAAAAAGATATGTTTTATCCTTTTTATTGGTTAATCTTTTCTAGACGAATGGACTACACTATCAAAATTTCCAGTGCCAAATTCTCACCAACAAACACTAGATTAAATTGTATGATAAAATGTAGTAAAACAGCTGGGTGTGGTGGTGCATGCCTGTAATCCCAGCACTCAGGAGGCTGAGGCAGGAGGATCGCTATGAGTTCGAGACCAGCCTGGGCTACATAGTGAGTTCCAGGTCAGTCTCAACTACACAGTGAGACCCTGTCTCAGAAACAAAACAAAACAAAAACCCAAAAAGTAAAATAATACTTTTACATAGGCACTTAAAGATCACACGCAGATTTCCATTTTTGGAAATAGGGTAGTCTAGAACAGTGAAAATCACCCAGATGTAATGAATAGACTCTCACAAGGTCCTTTTTAAATGCATAGTTATATTTGGAAGACAAGAAAAAAATTCTCCAAGATGCAACAAGAGGTAGCTGTAAACAAAATTATTAATATAACATTAACCTCAGCCTGCCTGTGGGCATTTGTTGGTCTTGATAAACAAGAAAGATGCATTTCATGAACCACACTGGGTAAATGATGAGGCCTTGGCTTACAACAGGTCGCGAGAAATACGAATTGAGATTCTGGCATTGCTGGACCCTTGAAGGGTGACACTTTCAGGGAAAAAGCAGATGACTGCGAACCCCTTCCATCTCAGCCTGGATACTGTTTCTGCGAGAGAAAGTTCTCTGTTAAGAATGAAACATTGCACAGATAAAACCTATCAAAACTTGCAGATTGCAGCCAAAGCAGTACTTGGCAATCCCAGCCCCAAATACTTCTATCAGAAAAGATGAAAGCTGAAAATGAATGCGCAAAGGATCTGTTTCTGTTCCCTTTAAAGCAGACTAAGGCAAGGATTAAGTGTTAATGCTTTATTTGAGAGGTCCACACCGGGGACAAAATGACGCAGAGAAGGGACTTGAGGTAGGGGAGGCTGAGGAGCAATGTAATGTACTCGGTCTTCCTTTATCACAAGCCGTGATACCCCGGGCAGCTGCTTCCAGGTGGGTGTACCAGGTGAAGAGCCACCCTCTGCGTCTCAGAAAGGCTGCGCAGAACCAGCACCTCCTGAGAGGGTCCCGAGAAATCACACCTTTGCGTAGATGCGAGGGGTTGGGGTGGGGCGGCTGGGGCGAAGCAGCCCCTGTGGGAAAGACACAAACCCAGTTGGATGTCTCCTGAGGAAGAAGAGCCGTAAACTGGCGTGGGAAGGGCCACCAGTCCTGTCACCTTTAAGAAAAACCACAGAAAGTGCTGAAGGAAATGTGGAGCAAACCTCTTTTATGAGGTGAGGTGCAAATTTGCTGGCTTCAGACCTAAAGACAAGTGTGTTGCGAAGACCCCTCCGCTGTGATCCAAGGATGCAGTGCCTGATAACGACAGAGGTGTAACCAGAACACCAAGAATACCCGTAATCTGGTTCCGTGAAGGTCTAACAAATGGTGCGTAATGTGTCACCCTGGGGGCCTCAGCTTGCTTTGTGCTGATCCAACAGTATCCCTGACACGGGGTGATTTTTAAAGAATTGAGATTTAGGAATTCAAGGTCAAGGGGTACGCATCTGGCAAAAGTCCTCATTGAGCATCATCCTACAGAGGCACAGAGGACAGATGGTAAGAAAGCGCAAGAGCAGAGGATGGACCGCACAGCCTCCAGGGCTGTATAATGTCAGTATTCCACTCATGAGGGTGGACTTGCACAACCTAAGCACCTTCCGTTAAGCCTCACCTCTTCAGAAAAACTTGAATTTGAAAAAGATATAAGGACTTAACTTTTTAGGTATCAAGACTTTATAAATCTTTTGTAAAATAAGTTGGTGCACAATTTCAAAAACAGCCCAGCCAGTTTTTAAAATAGACCACAGCTGTAACAACTAACATATTAAAATATATATACATAGAAAATCAGTTGCATGATTTATTGCGATGCAATAATAGAAACAATATAGAAAACCAGGTGCATCGTAACTTCTTTGTAACCGGTATTTGTACCAACGCAACAACAGGGAACAATGCAAATGCCTATTACCTGTCGGAGTAAATAAGCTGTGTTGTATTCTTACCGTGGTGAGGGTGTGCAGTATCAGAAAGTCTCATTCCTTGCTGGTGGGAGTGCAAAATGGCACTGCCGCTTTGGAAGACAGACGGATGACTTCTCATACAAATAGCATACTTATTATACTCTCCAGCACTTATGCGCCTTGTTATTTGTTCAAAGAAGTTGAAAACCTGTGCTCACACAGAGCCCTGCAAACAGACGTTTGCAGCAGCTTTATTCATAACTCACTGTAACCTGGAAGCAAACAAAATGTCCTTCAGTAGGTGAAAGGATACGCTGTATAATAAACTGCGGTACATTCAGACAAAGAATGTTAATCAGTTCTAGGAAGACATGAGTTATGTGGCATGGAGGAATCCTACATGTAAGTAAAAGAAGCCAATCTCAGAAGGCTAAGTGAAGTCTAATGCCAACTATACAACATTCTGGAAAAAGCAACGATAAGATAGTGAAGAGATAAATGGTTGCCTGTGCTTAATAGGGAGGGAGGGGTGAATCGCTGGAGCACAGAGGATTTTTTAGGCAGTGAAACTACACTGTGCAATGCTCTGATGGGAGGTCCTTGTAATTATACAATTGTCCAAATCAACAGAATATCAACACCGATGTGAAAAACAGTGTAAACCATGGATTTGGGCAAGTAATGATGTGTCAATATAGGTTCACCGACTCTAACAAATGTATCAGTCTAATAAAGGCAGGTGGCAGTGGGCAAAGATAGAAATATAGATGGGGGATACAGCTTTACTTTCTGCACAATTTTCTTGTGGGTCTAAAACTGCTCTAAAAAGTCTACTAAAAACGACCGAAAAGTAACGTAAAGGAAGCAGATATTATGTTGGCTTAGGAATAGAAAAGTAGATTGAGAGAAAAAATGCAAAGTTTATGAACAGTTCTGTGTATTTGTATGTGCGTGTGTTTGTGTGTGTGTGTGCGTGCGTATACACATATTAGTATAGGATATGCATATATATGGTGGAGGCTGTACACATCTGTTTCCCGCTTTCTGAGAGTTTCTGTGACTGTATGCTGAATTTTGTTGAATGATTTTTTGTACCAGTCAATGCAGTCATACGGTTTTTGTTCTTTATCATGATCTGGTTTGGGACTCTCAGAAATATAACTGCTATAAATATTCTTGTACAAGTTTTTATGTGATCATACATTTTCAGTCCCCTGAGATATAGGCCCAGAAATGTAGCTACTATATTGTATTATAGCTACATGTATAGATTTTAAAGATACATATTGAAGATATACTCCTAAGTGAAATAAATAAATCTCACATGTGTAAATACCGAATAGTTTCTCTGGTGTGAATAATCTGCAATAATACATAAGATCCTAATAAGATTACTGACATTTCGAAAAGGGAAGAAAGGAGCTAAAGGTGTAGGGAAGGTGGGATGAGTAGGGGAAGGGTAATAAGGGAAAAGAAAATAATGTGAGATAATGAAAAGATGTAAATAAAGTATTTGTAGATGGGGAGGGGAGGAGGGGGTGAAGGGAGGGCAGGGATAAGGGGAAAAAATGAGAATCAAGACTTGTCATGTGGAGGTACAAGATCCCAATGATGAATGTAACTGTACTGTATCCCTAAAATGTACCAATAAACTCAATTAAAGCTGAAAAAAAAATTGTCAATGTTTTCTTAGACATCTGTATTTTTTTACACTGCCAACAGCAAGGCATGAGGGACTCAGCTTGTAAGAATCCTTGCTACTGTACATACTGTCATTATTTTAAAATTTAATCTTCTGATAGTTGTGTAGTGATAATTAATTGTGGTTTTAATTTGTATTTTCCTTAATGCTAATGACATCGAACATCTTTTGTGTGCCTGTTATCTGTTTATCCTTTTCAGTAAAATGTCTGTTTATGTCTTTTGTTCATGTTAATTGGCTGTTTGATTTTTTAAATGTTGAGTTTTATGTACATTCCAGATGTCAGTCCCTGTTGGATGTGTGGATTGCAGGTGTTTTGTCCCAGTGAGTAACTTATTTTTCACCTTCATGACAGGGTCTTTTGCACAGCTAACATTTTTTTTTAACTTTATTTAAGACATGTATTCATTTGCATTTTGTGAATAGTTTGGTATAGACTTAGCTACTTTAAAATATAAATGTTTTATAGTTTTATACTTTGGATTTAAGTCTGTAATCTGTTGTTTGTTAATATTTGTATAAGGCATGAGATGATATCAAGGTTCAATTTTTGCTTATGGATGTTTGATTGGTTTTGTATCATTGTTGAATTGGCCATCTTTACTACACTGAATTGCTTTTGCACCTTTGTCAAAAGTCAGTTGTGCAGGGCCGGGGATTTAGCTCAGAGGTCAGCTGTGCAAATGTGTATGGGTTTATTTCTCAGTTCTCTACTCTGTTCCATCCAGCTGTGCATCTGTCCTTCTGCCAATTTGCAGGTTTTGATTGCTATCACTATGTAATAAATCCTGAAATTAAGTACAGTAACTACAAGCTTCTTCCCTAAAAATTTTAAGCTACTCTACTTTGTTTCTCTAAATAAGTTTTAAAAGTCTCACCCAAAACTATTAAAATAATGCTAGCTTTTGATAGGGACTATGTTATGTCCATATAACAACTTTGGGCAAACC